CCGGCCCTGCCCTCAGTCTCTGTGGCTTCCCTCCAGGGCGCCCAGGCAACAGGAAAGAGCCAGGAGTGTGGGTGTCCTGGGGGTCAGCTCAGGGCTGCACAGGGGAGCCAGGAGCCTTCCGGATGCCCCGAGCTCCTGGCACCAGCTCCGTTGTGCTCGGAGCCCCGTGGCTGAGCCCTCGGCTCAGGGCAGACAGCCGTGCTAATCCTGTCCTGGGCTGGCAGCCGCCTCCGGCTGAGAGGGAGAAGCGAGCCACTCGGAAAGCTGGTTTGGAGTTCCTGTTAGTTGTGGACGGCACCATGGTGCCACCAGGAGATTATCCACACCCGGCTGGTCCCTGGCGGCCGGGCCCAGCGCCCCGAAAGGAGACAGCTAGCTGTTAAGGAGATTCATGGGAAGGGGGCAAGGTGGGAGGAAGGCTAATCAAGCTGGGCTGATTGTAATTGTCCGAAGGCGCTGGCCTCCCTCAGCAGAGCGGGGACGGACGCGGCCTGCCTCTGCGTCTCGGCAGGCCTTCTCCCTGCTGGGACCGTGCTGGGTAATGTTCTTTCGACATAACTCTATTTAAATTCACATTTCCATCATCCTCAGAGGAGCCGGGGAGAGAGCTGAGCTGCGTGGTATAAGCTGGGAAAGGATTAGATGGGGTGGGTGTTATTTTTTCCTTTTACTTTCCCTTAGTGATGGAGATGGGGTTGTGGTGGTGGGGGGGGAGCTGTTCTAGAATCCTGCAATATCAGAGTAGGGAGGGCTGCTAGAGGCCATCCAGCTTAAACCCCCTCCACGTCCAGATGGAAAACTGAGGCCCACAGGGGCCCTCAGCACGCCCAGCAGAGCCCCCTTCCCGATTCCTTCCCTGACCAGCCCCTGGGGCAGGTGTCAAGGAAAGGCCTGGACCCCGGGTCTTTGCCCCTTTGCTAGTTGCAGGTGGCATAACTTCCTTCCACGCCGACGTGCCGGCCAGCTGGAGCCCCCCAGAGGCCCAGCCCCTTCCCCGCTGCTCTGCTGAGCCCGGAGAGGGGCAGCAGCCGAGCCTCTGTCATGAGTCACCTTTCCCCCAGCACAGCCGGGGCCTCATTTCCTCTGTAGGAGGCCCCCGGGGGCTAGCAAAGGCCGTGGCCTCTCAGAAGCGGAGCGCTAGAAGGGGCAGGTGAGGGGGCCATCGGACGTGGGCCCAGGCGCAGGGCCAGATCGAGTGGCCAGGAATGAGGCTCCCCAGGGAGGCCGAAGCTGGATTGAGGGCTAAATCGCAGGAGAGACGGAGCACTGCAAGGAGAGAGGGGGAGGGTGGGAGGGGACTGCGGGCTTAGGCTGCAAGACCCCGGGGAGGCCAGGCCCTCCTGTCCCTCTGGTCCGGCCTGGAGGGTGGGAAGCTTAGGGCAGAAGATGGGAGGCAGCAGGGAGAGGAAGTTAGCTGGTTTGGGATGAAACTCCTAGCCTTATGAATGCCAGAAATGTTCAAAGAAGCATCTGGTTTTGTTTTTTTCAATTTCCTCCATTATCAACAGCTTGGGTGCTGTGGAGGGTGCTGCAGCCCAGCCTGGGTGTCCCCTCTGCCAAGAGGCCTTGCCACCATGGGGACAGCAGGGTGTGTGTGTGTTCTCCTCCTCCTCTGAGCAGCCAGGCAAAGCCCTGCAGTGCCAGGTCCCCGTGGGTCCCCCCACCACCCAGCCACTCAGTGATGTGGCTCAGGAAGGCTCTTCGTCTCTGAGGGGCCTCGTCTGGTACTTAGGAGGGGGCTTTGGCGTGTCTGCAACTGGACTGCAACCCGGTGGACGTACCGGATCCTCTCCTCCAGGGCGAGGGACGTTCCATCCTGGGCAGGGGGTGGCAGGGTGGCCTCCTGTGTGGATCCCAAGGCTCTGGGCTGTCACAACTCATGTCCAGCGTGGGCATCTCCTACACTCCCATGGACCGAAATTTTCTCACATGCCAGGGCCTGTGTTGAGTCCTGACTGAGGCTCAGAGAGGTTGACACACTCACAGAGGGTTGCACAGCCAACATCACCACCATTGCCACCTCCACCATCATCACTACTATCACCATCCCCACCACCCACATCATCACCACCATCACTACCACCTCTACTATCACCACCACCACCACCACCGCCATCCCCTTCACCACCACATCTCCCCACTGCTTTTACACGAAAGCCCTCATTCCCCGTCTTGCACCCTAACCCCACTCTCCCCGTAGACTGTTAGATACACCCCCAGGGCTTGGGCTGAATCCAGGGGGCCCTTGACCCTTAGAACTCCCCACCCGGCTCACAGGGCCCAGCGTTGATTCCTTGATTACCAGGCTCTGAAGCCATCCTGGCTCAGGCCCACCCTGCAGGGCCTGATTTTGAATCAGGTGCCTATTTTGAGCCCAGATTTGCTGCTGGTGCCACCACCACCCCCAGCCACTCTGCCCCCCCTTGCCCCCGTAAATTATTTATGTCAGAGTCGAGAGGGCTCACAAAGGAGCTGGATGGGATAAACTGTGGACATTGCCACCCCCAGGGCTCCAGTCCCAAAGGTGCCCATGGGGCCCTGGGCAGGGTCCTGGTGGTGGGGCCCAGGAGACATGGAAGGGGGTGAGACTGGGGCCCTGTTGGATATGATTTGGCCAGGAACCTGGAGATCCTGCCCCAGACCCTGGTTGCCCCACCCCTTGAGGCTACAGCGGGAGATTGGTTCCAGGAACGAAGATGGTGAATGGGAGGTGAAGTGGGACTTGACTGTGTGCCCAATTCCAGAAGGTTCCAAGGAGAGTTCTGTCTTGTCCTGACCAACTCAGATCTCAACTGCCCAGACCAAAGCGGGCTGAGAGGCGGCTCACCTGACCTCCAGGTGCCCACTCTGAGTCCCTGCCGGGAAAGGTAAAGTCAGTTCTCGCCTCAGGTCCCAAGAGAAGGAGTCTGAGAACAGACAGGGCCAGGTGTGGTTGGCTTTGCCTCGTCCATGGGCCAGGCCTAGACTGCCCACCCAGGGTCTGTGGGAGCAGGGGGACCCTCAAACCCCAAGAAGAGAGAAAGGAGAGAGCTGTGGCCGCCTGCTCTAACAGATGGACACACAGCGACCCTGCCCTCAAGCAATGTGGCCCGGATGGAGAGGCTTCCTCTGTGCCCTTGATGGGGAGAGCAGAGGGGAGGGTCTTTGAACGCCTCTCCCAGGAGCCAGCAGTTGGGGTCTTTCCCTGGAACGCTCTTTCAGCTCACGTGACTGGCTGGAAGGACTCAGGCCAGGGCAGAAAGAGCAGGTGGCCTGAGGCCAGGACGGGCTCTGCTGCCCTTGCGGCTGGGGACCTTTGGACCAGTCACCCACCTGTCCCCCCAGATGCAGAATGGGAATCTCCAGCTCCTAGAATCTTCCAACCACAGAGTCTCAGGACCAGAGAATCTTAGAATCATGAAATTATGGGCCTCCCAGGATGTTTGGGATAAAAAATTTTTTTCAAAAAAGAGATAACAAATGGCAAAGGAATTTGGAAATGCTTCCCAAACATGAGGATGGCTGATGCCTTTGTGCTGTCTTGGAGGGTGGGTGTGGGGTGTCTGGAAGGGGGTGGAAGCACAGAGGGGGCTGGAGAGACATCGAGAGGCTGCCGGGACACCTGCGGCTTTCTGAGCAAGAACGCAGAGACGTGACACACCACTCCAGATGTCGCCAAGCTCCCCTCCGCCCTCTCCTGCCAGCTCCTGTCTCTGTTTATGGGTCCCCGCTAACCTGGGACCCGGCTGTGACCAGGGAGCCCCCACCCCAGCTACACTCTCCCCATCTGTTGGACGAGATGTCTGGATTTGATTTTAGCTGCAATCCTCTGTTTAAATGCGATCGTATACGGAGCCCCGCAGACCAACATCAGAGCTGTTCTGGGTTGGAGGGAAGGGGCCTGCTGAAGAGCCACGGCCCCCTGCTGGTCTCCCAGTTCCCCCCTCGGCCCCTCCTGCCTTCAGCCCCCGCAGAGTCGCTCCACAGAACCTGAGATTGCCAGCGCATCTCTAACCCCCGGCCTGAATGGATGCTCTGTAGTCGCACCGTCCGAACTTCCGCACATGGGAGAATCATCGGTTCTAAGACAAGGAGTTGAGCTCCTCAGGTTCCGAGTGTGCCTGGGCGCCCCGCCAGCCTGGCCTGCGATTCTCTCTTGTCTGTCAACAGCTGAGCAGGGCTCCTGGGTGTCGGCCGGTGGAGGTGACTGGAGAAGCTGAGGGTTGGCGTATCTGCTCTGAGGAAGGGGCCCTTCTGAGGGTGGGCTTCAGGACTCTTGGGGCCATGCGATGCTGCTTGGGGGCACAGGGGTCCAGGCCTGGCCCAAAACAGGTGCTCGATGGGTAGAGGTTGGCAGAGTGGGGGTGGCCCATCTTGCATCTCTGCCTGAACCCTGGTTCCTGGGTGCCAAGGGGACTCTTACAGTGGAGCCAGCACCCCCGGGCATTGAGAGGGTCACCTGGGCCTACAGCTGGTGGGGGTCACCCAAGCGCTGTCAAGTGGCCTCTGTGATGTGTGTCCTGAGGGAGGGAGACCCCAGGCTGGGCGGGAACTTCCTTGGGAGGTCTGATGTGGTCAGGAAGGGTCCCCTAAGGAAGTGACCAGGAGCAGATGAGCCAGGAAGGCTAACAGGTGTAACAGGTGAGGAGGGGGGGCAGCCAGCGCCCTGTGATGGGGGCAGGAGACGAGGAACACCAGAGGACAGTGGGGCTGTGGGGGAGGGGAGGGGAGGGGAGGGTGGCGTGAGGGGGGCTGGAGGGCAGGCAGACAAGACTCTGTGTCCCCTGCGCGTCCTGGGTGGGGAGAACTGGAAACTCACTGATGGTTGTAAACAGGAACTGGATGTGATAAGATGGCACTTCAGGAAGTTTCCTCTGATTGTGATGGGAGATGGACTGAGGGGCCGAGCAGGGGCCACACAGAGGCCAGGAGAGGAGCTGGCCAGTTGGACCCAGCTGAGGAGGAGGAGAAGGACCAGAGAGGACAGAGTCAGCAGGGCCTTAGGAGGGACAGTGCCAGAAATGGGTGAGGGAGAGGTGGGCATCAAGGTGAGTGACCCTCAGCTGGCCTCTGGTCCAGGCATTTCTGTGATGGGTGCCATTCACTTCAACAGGGAACCCCGGGCGAGGACCAGGCGTGGGGGGTAGATCTGAAGCTCCATACTGGGCATATTGGGCTGGGAGGAGCCTTCGAAGCACGCCCCGGGGGACGTCAAGGAGGCAGTCAGAGGCCCAGGTGTGGGAGGCGGCGGTGCTGGACTCCAGGTGTGGGTCGTGCGTCATCTCTGCAAGAGGGGTAACTGAGGGTGGGAGACCCCGCTGACGAGGCGAGGCAGGGCCAGGGGCTGAGTCTCAGGGACTCGCAGCTTGAGAATTCCAGGCCGCCATCCCTGCGGGGCGCCTGCAGCTCAGCCGAGAGGAGCTTCCTCTGTCTTCTGGCCATTGCAAGACATCAATGAGGGCTGGTGGGCTCCTTGTAAGAAGCTGGGATCTCCCAGAAATATCTGGGTGGCTCTGAGAGTTGGTTACAGCCCCACGGTCGTGTAGATGGGGGAGCAGCATCATGAGTCCTGTGGTTCCTGTGACTTATCAGAACTCCTAGGGGTGGGCAGGCCAGGGCCATTCAGACTCAGGAGGGTCTGTACAGCCCTTCAAAGAGGCTATGATTCTAAGAAGCTACGATCTCAGACTCTCAGACCGTGATCTCAGAGTCAATGATTGGGGCCCATCTTACGCAAAGACCCCTAGGGGACTGTCCCTGGGCCCCTCTGGTAGGGATGTCTCCAGCTGATGTTTCACCCCAGCAGAGGCCCCTAACATGAGTGGGGAGTCAGAGGACGGAGGGAGAAGGGGAGACCGTGGGCAGGCCTCCGCGTCTGTCCCGCAGGGTGAGGGCCTCTTGGAACGGGGCCAGGCAGCCTGAGTTACGTCCCTGCTCACGTGGCTCCTCAGACGTCCTCACAATATTAATAGTGAAAGGGCAGCTCCCTCGGAGACTGGAGACCGCAGGCCCGCACTTGGCGCTGACAGGAGCCTGGAATGCCAAGTTGTCCCAGGAACGCCACTGCAGACAGATGAGGGAGTGTGTGCTGGCTGCAGTGGGCAGAGCAGCTCTCTTGAAGCCTGCCCCCGCCCCTGGGGGCTGTCTGGGCCGTCTTTAAGGATGCTTTGTTAAGCCCCATTAAATATGCATCGCCCCCGTTAAACTTTAATGTCCCACTTTGAGGTGTCACATTTTTTACCTCCTCCTGGGATGGGGGAGGGTTGAGCCACCCAGAGCTGACGTCTGGCGCTGGGGACCGAGGCAGGGACGGGAGCTGCTGGGAGCCTGGCTGTGCGGCCCTTGGCCAGCTGCCTCCCGGGGCCTTGGACAAGGCACAGCTGGGAGACACTGCCCACAGGTGGATCATGCCCCAAACCTCGTGCACTCCCCGTCCCACCGGCTGGAGTCTCCGTCGTTGGAGTGGCTCCACTGGGCTAAGCTGGGGTCTGCAAACTCTTCCTGTAAAGGGCTGGACATCAGTAAACGTTTTAGGGTTTGCGTATTTGCTTTTGATTGCTTCTGGCAACCCTTTAAAAATGTGAACACCATTCTTAGCTCACAGGCTAGGGTTGGATGTGGCCCGTGGGCCGAGGTTGTCAACCCCTGGGCTTCAAGATTGTACCCAGAGAGAAAGGAGTAAAAGGCTTTGGAATCAGGCAGAGTTGGGCCAGGAGTGGTGACCTTTAAAATATCCACCGACCTGTGCACCTTCGCTTCGCCAATCAGAACAGGTGCCAGCTGTAAACAGGCCTGAGGAGACTATTACCCGCCTGGGCCCTCCTGGCTCTGCTGCCCACCGTCCACCACTGGGAGAACCTGGCCTCTCTAGGCATCTGTTTTCTCTCTATAAAGTGCGTACACGAACAGGGTCTAAAGAGACTTTCATGAGAATTAACTGAGATTCAGTGGAAACACTGACCAGAACAAGCCAGAGTTCATACCACAGGCTGCCCGTCAGAACCACCCCGGGTCCTGAAAAAGTACTGTAGGCAAAACCACATGAAGGAGTCTGCTCTCACGGCTCCTGCTCAGCCAAGCACTAGAAGTTCTGGCCGGAGCAGTGAAACGAGAAAAATAAATAAGAGGCGTCCATTAGGGAAACGCAAATCAAAACCACAGTGAGATCCCACCTCACACCGTTAAGATGGCTGTCATCAAAAACAGAGAATGACACGTGTTGGCAAGGATATGGAGAAAGTGGACCTTTGTGCGCTGCTGGTGAGGATGTAAAACGGCACAGTTGCTATGGAAAACAATATGGCGGCTCCTCAAAAAATTAAACATAGAATCATTGTGTGATCAGCAATTCCGCTTCTGGGTATACACCCCAAAGAATTGAAAGCAAGGTCTCGAAGAGCCATTTGTAAACCCATGTTCATACCAGCATTACTCACAATAGCTAAAAGATGGAAGCAACCCAAGTGTCCATCAATGGAAGAATGGATAAACAAAATGGGGTCTCTCTATACAATGGAATATTACTGAGCCATAAAAAGGAATGAAGTTCTGATACACATTACACTGTGGATGAACCTTGAAATTATTATAGTAAATGAAAGAAGTCAGACACAAAAGGCCACATGTTGTATGATTCCATTTATATGAATACCCAGAACAGGCAAATCCATAGAGACAGAAAGTAGAATAAGTGGTTGCTAGGGGCTGGGGAGGTGGGTTAGGGGAGGAGATAATGGAGACTGACTGCTTAATTGGTATAGGGTTTCCATTGGGGTGATGAAAAGTTCTGGAACTAGATGGTGGAGATGGTGGCACAACATTGTGGATGTATTTAATTCCATTGAATTGTACACTTTAAAATGGTTAAAATGGTAAATTTTATGTTTTGTGTATTTTTACCATTATAAAGTCCTACAGAGACGTCCAGGCTGCTGGAATCGGAGTCTGCTGGCTGAGACCCAGGGCTCTGGGTGTCTGACGCACAGCCAGTGTGGGGTGGCAGCCACCTGAGGGAGTGGACTTCAGGAAGCACAAGTTTTGAAGAGGAGGTTCTTGGGGGGGATAAGACAGTCAGGGGAGCACTTTCTCTCCAACCTTCTATTCTCTTGGCCCCAGGGGTCATGCAGGAAAGGCCTGGAGGCTACTGGACGCTGTGGACAGCGTGAAAGTTGTGTGGTCCCTGGCAGTGTGGACGCTGCTCCCTGAGGTAGGGGGGCTGTGCCGTCAAGAGTGGCGCTCTGCAGAGAGAGGGCAGGCAGAGTAGAGTCCCTGCTCAGCTGGGGATGTGGTGACAATTCACAGATGCAGCGTGGGGAAGAACTCTGGCTCCGTGCAGAGGCAGGACCCCGGACCAAGCTCCAGAGATGTGCCTGGAGTGGCCACATCTGTGCAGGGCCATGAGTGAGGACACGTGGGCACACGGGTGGGAGGTGGAGCTGGGTGAGGTGGCCTGGCCTGACGGGAAGGTGGCTGAGAGCACAGGTTCGGATCCCAGCTCTGCCCTCACACGCTGGGCCATCTCAGATCTGACGCCTCCATCATCTCCCAGCTGTGGAAATGAAGCCATTAAAACGCTCTCCTTCCAGGGCTGGTGTAGCTGAGAGGTGACGGCGTGTGCCTGGCACAGGGTGAGCCTCCAGCAGACACTGCCCAGTGGTGGCTGGCATAGCAGCCAGCACAGTCGTTGTCCGGGCGTGGTCTGACCCCGCCGTGCCAGGCAGGCCCCCGGGAGGACGAACGCCCCGCGCCTCCAGGCCCCGCCTTGGGCTCTCCAGGTGAGGGGCCTCAGCCAGGGGGACGCAAGCATAGAGGAGGCTGCGTGTGGTTTCTGAGCTTGGGGAAGGCCTGCGGTGCCGCAATCTGTGGGGCGCCGAGAACACTCAGAACAGGCCATTAGGACACAGGAGAACAGTGGAAGGGACAGGAGACAGCTAATTTTTAAAATTTTGTTTATCAATAATCCACTATAGCCGGGCAACTCACACATGTTCCAGAAGTGAATGAATGAGTGAGTGAGTGAATGAATGAGCGAGGGAACGGGTGATGAGTGAGCGGGTGGCTCTCTGCCCCTAGTGGTGGACATTTGCCCGTCCTTAACAAAGGACTTGGGCCGCCTGGTCTGCCTGCTTCTCGATTTAAAGGGCACTGGCTTGGGTGATAGAAAGATGTTCAAAGGTTGAAAACACAAGAAAGGCCCGAGTCCGAATCTCATCCTGTGGAGGCAGGTATGCGACCTTGGGTGAGTCATTTCTGGCGGTCTCCCTTTTGTCATCTGGAAATGGAGATTTCTGTGCCTAACCCACGGATGGTCATCGGGTCCTCAGATGGACCTGGTGCATCAGAAGTTTCCGGAAAGGGTAGCTGCTGCTGGACTAGTGGTTGCTGTTGTCTGCACCTCACTGAACCCTGCTGACCACCCTGGGGGGCAAGAAGTGGTGCCCTCTCCATTTTGCAGATGTAGAAACTGAAGCTGGAGATGTGGTGGGCCTGCCCAAGGTGGGAGGTGGCAGCCCCCTCACTCGCACCCTCTCCGTTCCTTTGACCTTAGGCGCTGCTGCCAGCCAGGCCCATCATTCTGTGTCCTGGGCACTGGGATGGTGTGTGTGTGTGTGTGTGTGTGTGTGTGACCACACACTCCCCTGCCTGAGGGCCCAAGGACCAAGAACAAGACCGCTGTGGCTGGGGGTGACTTCACCCGGGCTTCCTGAGGAGGCTCAGACCCCCACAGCTCCCCTCCCAGCCAATGGACCTGCCCCCATGGCCCCCCTGGATCTCTGGTGTTCCTCATTCTCTGGGTGTCCCCCGGGGTGCGTGTCTCTGTTTCTGTGTGTGTGGTGGGGGGCCCTCGGTCTCTCTCTCTGTTGTATCTCTGTGTCTCTGTGTTGTTTAGCCGAGTATTTCTCTGTCTCTGTGCCTGTCTTCCTCCTTCCCCCCTTCTCTGTGTATTTCTGCCTGTGTCTCTGTGTTATATCTCTCTGTGTATGAGTATCTCCCTCTGTTTTTGTCTCCGTTAATCTCTGTGTTTCTCCAGGTCTTTCTGTGTGTCTCT